AGGAGATTCGAATTCAATTCAGCAGTGTATAAATTCTGCCCATAATGCTGTCCTTGCTGTCGGATATTTAAACAGCTTTGTGCTTTATCGTCTTTTTCTTTTTTTTTTCTTTTCAAAGCCCACCCAGGGCTGCCATTCTCTTTCACAAAGAAGTAAATAATTCAGCAGGGAGTTTTGGATGTGGGTTGTCTGTTCTGAGGGGCAGCCTGGACCAGGATTGAAGCGATTTTAGCCATCAGCACTGACTTTGGGAGTTGGGTGGTTGTTAATCGGATCTTGGTGTCAGTCTTTGCAAAGCTGCCCCTTGTCACACTGACCTATGGGGTCTGAATAGACATATGGAATTTCAGAAAAAAGAGGGGGGGGAAAGAAAAGAAAAAAACCAGTTCGGTGCCCATATCACGATGGTTACAGTGCCAACCACATGAACCGAAGGTGGCTGATTTGAACCCAGGCCAGGCAGTTAAACAACCATGGCAATTGCAACAACAAAAGGTAGCCGGGCATTGTGGCAGGCACCTGTAGTCCCAGCTACTTGGGAGGCTGAGGTAAGAGAATCGCTTAAGCCCAAGAGTTTGAGATTGTTGTGAGCTGTGATGCCACAGCACTCTACCCAGGGTGATACAGTGAGACTCTGTCTCAAATAAAAAGAAAAAGAAAAGAAAAGAAAAAATAACTGATTGCAATGGGAACCATCTTTAAATCTTGCAGAGATGAAGTTCAAACCCCAGAGTGGGTTGCTGGCTGCAGACCACAGAAAAATCCCTCTAACTGCTACTTAAGGAAGTTTTTCTCTTAAGATCCCCAAGCACAGCTTTTTTGGGGGGAAGGGGTTTGTGTATAAGCCTTGGCCCTCCCACTCACCAGCATGAGACATTTCAAACTTTTCCCTGGGAAGCCAGGATCAGAGGACCCGTAACCCTCCCAGAATGAAATAAAATAGCTCCCCTCTTGAGAGTTTTCAGATCCCAGAACATGAGGTTTTGATTAAAAGCTGCTGAGCTCACCAAAGAACAGCAAAACAAACTAGACACGCATCTCGGATCTCGTGTCCTGATGTCCTGGCTTATGTGTTCTGTGGAATAAGCCCAGTGCAAGCAATTAGCTCACAGGCAGCCAGCCCTTCAGGGCCGAGTCTGGGGTCTCAGGATTAGGACTGTGACCTGCCAGCCTCCAATACCCACTTAGAGCACACAGGATGTCTGCTACAAATTTGCTGTGACTCCCCTGGAAGCAGGAGGGGGCCTTGCCCCAGGGTAATCTCTCTATTTGGCTTGTAGCACTGGAGGCCATGCAACCTGGCCACGTGATGCTGGCTAGCGGGTATCCGCCTGGTTTACGTAACGAGGTCTGGGCGACTTGGACACCCTCCCCACATGTGTGAATCATGCCTGCAGCCACCGCTGTGAGCGATGCAACTCCTGAAGCCAGGCAAGGCCTAGGAGCAACAGGCTTGACTGCCTCGGTGACACTCTGCCCAATGCCTGGCACCCTCCAGGGTCACCCAGAGGGTGAAGGCTCAGAGCTGAAGGGACCTGCTGGGTCACTCACTGTGTCTCTGCAGGCTGACATGATTTATCAGGGCTGCCCACCCTGGTTATGTAACCGTGTGTCAGAGAGGGGGGAAGGGAGAAGACAGAGGTCATCTGGGGCATTGTGTAGGAGTGGCCGGGCCGGCACACAGGTTGGAGGAGATTGTGAAGTGGTGGCTCATGGGATGCCTGACTTGCTGGGATGAGCAGAGGTGTGATGTACGTAGAGTGATCTGTAAATGGTGAAGGGGTCCTGGAATCTGAATTGTCGAGCTGCACAGGAGAGCTGTGCTCTCCCTGGGGGAGACAGGGGTCTCTTCCTAATGCAGGGAGCTGACGCTGCCTCCTGTCCCCTCCTGGGCAGCCTGGACCACGGTGGCTGGAGGCGGCAAAGCAGACCTACCTAGTGATGCCTCCACTGGGGACCCTGGCTGTCAAGAGGGCCAAATACAAGGGACGGGGGGGGGGGGGGTCCCAGAGTTGGGCAGAAGTCAGAAATGGCTCTCTGAGATTTGACATGAAATGGCACCACTAGCTTGCAGCCAGCATCTCGGCACAACCCTGGGCTCTGTCCTTCTCCCTTTGACTTCAGCTCCTACCTGGGGATACACCTTTGCTCTCAGACACGGGCCTCCGGAACCTGCTCGAGGGGGACTCCACCTGGGTCCATGCCAGTACTTTGCAAACACACACTGGAGTCCTACAACCTTCCCCCAGAGTGACAACCACCACCCAGACAGACGTCCATCAGGAAAGAAAGGAGCTCTAACGTTGAGGCTGCCCGAGGGTCACAGAGGAAATTCTGACTCTGCCCTGCTTTGCCCTAAACCTCCTGGAACCCCAAGCTCCTCCTCTGGGAAATATGTGTGCTGGGAATGCCCGGTACGAGGAAGTATGTATGCCTGAGTGCCTGGCCTTGCAAGGATGCCACTGTGCTCTTTTGTCCGTGGCCAAAACAATTGCGCTGACTGCTTTTGAACCTGTTAGGGATTCCAGTTTACAAACACAAGCTTGTTTTTTATTTTGTTTACTTTTTTTTTTCTTTGAGACTGGGTTTTGCTCTGTCACTCTGGCTAGAGTGCAGTGGCATCATCAGAGCCCACAGTAACTGCAAACTCCTAGGCTCTAGCAATCCTCCTGCCTCAGCCTCCCCAGTAGCTGGGGCTGCAGGTGCCACCACGCTGAGCTAATTTTCAAATATTTTTTTGTAAAGGCAAGGTCTTACTATGCTATCTGAGTTTGTCTCAAACCTCTGGTCTCAAGTGATTGTCCTGCCTCAGCGTCCCAAGTAGCTGGGACTATAGGTGCCTGCCACAACACCTGCCTACTTTTTCTGTTTTTCATAGGGATGAGTTTTTGCTTTTTCTCAGGCTCATCTCAGACTCCTGAACTCAAGGCATCCTCCCACCTTGGCCTCCCAGAGTGCTGGTATTACAGGTGTGAGCCATGGTGCGCAGACACAAGCTTGTTTTTTGAGCCTGTTGTTGTCAGGGCAGGTTAGCTGCTGTAACAAGCAGCCCCCTACATAAGGAAAAGCTTATTTCTTGTCTGTGTTGCAGACAGGTGGGTTAGCCAAGGCGTGCTCTGTGCAGCCTCCCAGGGATCCAGGACCCACCCAGTATTCTGCACACCCCTTCTCCTGGAGATAGCACGTGTGTTTGCATGTTGGTGGCCGACATGTCCAACCCTAAGCCATGACTGGGATAGCACAGAAGAGCGATTGGTGCACTTAGAAAGATGCTTCTCTGAAGTGTCCCTGAGCAGCCTCACTGTCCCCTCCTGGTGGGCAGGCTGTGGGGGAAAAAAGTCTCATAGTATATGAGGCCTTGCAAAGGACTCACCCACAAGGTCAAATAGACATCCAAGTGATTCTCAAATAGAGATACAAGTGGCCTCAAGTGATTCTTCTGCAAACAGGGTTTACAAAGGGAAAGGGGGCTGGCACGGGAATGAAAGTTAAAAGATACAAAGTACTTGGCTGTGGTGGTTCACACCTGTGATCCCAGCACTCTGGGAGGCCCAAGCAGGTGCACTGCTTGAGTCCACAGGTTCAAGGCCAGCCTGAGCAAGTGGGAACATTGTATCCCTTAAGTAATATACACAGTAACATTTGTTCTTTTGGGTTTTTTTAGAATTTTAATGTTTTTATTTCTTTTTGTTTCTCTTTTTTTTTTTAATGATAGCTGTGTAATTAATGCAATCATGGGGTACAGTGTGGTGTTTTCATATCCAATTTGAAATACTTTCATCAAACTGGTTGACATAGCCTTTATGTCATTTTCTTAGTTATTGTGTTAAGACGTTTATATTCTACTCTTAGAAAGATTCACTTGTACCCTTGTAAGATAAACCATAGAAGTGATCCCTCCAATCACCCTCCCTCCACCTATACCCCC